TTGGGGAGGGGATGTATTGGTTAGGTAGAAGGAGACCTACCCGAGGTAATAGGAGGAAGAAGAAGAAGAAGAAGAAGAGGAGGATGGAAGTGGTCTATACGTTCAGTTGGGAAAAGAAAAGAGAGACAAGGACAGAAGTACATAAAGAGAGAAAAAGAGATAGAGAGAGAGAGAGAGAGGGACTGATTGTGAGCATGAGCATGAGCATGAGCAAGAGCAAAAGCTTGGTACGCGGTGGTTCCACTGCGGATCGCGTAACAATGCGAAAACGCAAGAGAGCATCTAACGAAAAGCTCGTATCACGTTCCCTGTAAGTGGCAGGGCGAACACTACCTTCTCTTTCTCTTTCTCTCTCTCTCTTTCTCTTGTTATCCCTTCTCTCTTACTCAGTAAAGACGTTTTACTTTCGCTCTCTCTCTCTCTCACACTCATTCACTCACTCACTCACTCTTTTTCTATTTGTCTGTTTCTCTTTTCACAACCCCCCCCCCACTCCTTCTCTCTTTTTACATTTCTACCATCGTTTCTAAACTGTCTCTCTCTCTCTCTCTCTCTTTTTACAACCCCCTTTTGCATCATCATACCTCTACTCTCCCTTTCTCTTTCTATCCATTATTTTTTCCTCTACTTCTTTTCCTACAACCCCCTCGCATTGCATTTATTCATTCATTTTCTCTCTCTCTCTCTTTCTCTTTACAATTTTCGTCCCTATTTCATATTCGTAATGATGAGAGAGAGAGAGAGAGAGAGAGAGATATAGGCGCCAGGTATAGTAGAATAGAACATACAAGGATATGTAAGAGCGTGAATTTGGTAGAGGGGCCATGATGTGCCCCCGCAGAGAGGATTGAATAAACCGTAATTGGATGTCCATGGTGCTTACAACAACCCCACCCCAATCCTTCTCTCTCTCTCTCTCTCTCTCTCTCTTTATCAAACCTTCTCCTACTCCTTCTCCCTGCTATTTTTTTTGTCTCTTTTACCTTCCCTTCAACGTTCACGCGTCACCTTTATGTGTTCTATATACAAGCAACGTGCTTCGTTTTATACAAAGACATCTCGTAACCGCTCGTTCGGTAAGACCACGTAGTATGTGCTTACATTTTTTTTTTCTTTCTTTCTTCTTCTTCTTTTTCTCTCTCTCTCTCTCTCTCTCTTCGTCCTCTCTTCATCGTATATATCTACCATTTTTTTATTCTTATTTTTTTTTTTAAGTCTTTTTCTATATCCTTTCGCGCGCGAGTTGCAACGAGATACATTGGAAACCCGTTGTGCCAGAGGAGCTCACACAACTACCACCACTATACTATTTACTATTACTATTACTAATACAACTATTGGTGGCTTACCGCATTTTTGAAGGTAACACGATGCTGGAAAAATTCTTACGAGAGGATAAAATGAGTACTAATGTGGGACGTTGTGCGTTTCGATTTTAGATTACTGAGGTTGCAATATATTGTAACTGTATGTGTGTGTGTGTGTGTGTGTAATACCTTGTACACGTTTATTACTGTCTATGGTTTATTTTTTTTTCTTTATCTTTCTCTCTCTCTCTCTTTCTCTTTCTCTTTCTCTTTCTGTTCCTTATGTGTGCACGTATGTATGTCGTAAGAAGCTTCACAGGGTTGCTGGGTTGTGTGTTGCTTGGCTAAGTTGGTTGGTTGCTTACTTTGGTTAGATGGTTTTGGTTTGGTTTGGTTTGGTTTGGTTAGTGTGTGACGTAAGTGCTTCTCTCTCTCTCTCTCTCTCTCTCTCTCTCTCTCTTTCTCTTGCGACGATTATTATTGATGGGCAAGATCGGATTACCGCGAGAACGTGCTATGCTACTACTACTATTACTATTATTATTAATACTACTACTACTACTACTACTACTCTGGTCATATTCTATTCTGATTTTTTTTTTAAATAATTCATTCGATTTTTTATTGTTTATTTGGAAATCATCTTTATAATATTTGTGTGTGTGTGTGTGATTTTCTTTGTATTTTTTGTTTGTTTGTTTGTTTCTAATATAAGAAATTTTTTTGTTTTTTGATAGGTTATCGAAAATGTGTGTTGTTTTAAACGAGTGATGAAAAGGTTTCGATAGGTATGGCGTTATTTGAACAAAGCTCGGAGAAACGGGGAAATATCGATCGTCGAAGACTCATGGGAGGTGGTAAAAATGGGGTTTTACGAGATTACCATAAAACAACGGGACAAACAATTTCAAGAATGAACAGAAATAATGCAACAACGTCATCGATAATAATCAATTGGACAAATACAAAACAAATGTTTTATTAACGATTAGAACGATAATGGATTGAATTCTTATTCTATTGAATAAAAAATTCCAATGAAAATCCCATTGATTGGAAATATTTAAATTTATCATACACTTTTTATAATGGAATTATATTTCTGATAATATTATTTGTATGTGATAAACAATTTGTTGTTTTAAGAATGAACGTGAATAATGCAACAACGTTATCGATAGAAATGAATTGAACAAATACAAATATTTTATTAAGGATTAAAACGATAATGGAGAATAAAAGAATAAAACACCATTGAAATTACAATACACGAACGTTAAACGTAAATCTGTCATATGCTTTATTTTTTTTTTATGATTGAAATAGATTTTTGATATCATTTTTCTAAGATATGGCAATTATTATTATTGACAATTATATATTAAATATTTATTATTAATAATTATATTACAAATCATTTGTATTGGTATATATATATTTTTTTTAAACGTACATACATCATGTAAAATATAATTTATTTAACTACCAATATAATAATAGTAGGATATATTAAATATGTTTTAATATATATATATTAGGGTGGGTCAAAAAAAATCAATTATTTTTTTTTTACAAGTGCCACGGAAAAATGGGTTGCTAGAGACCTTAAAAAAAAATTCTCACCAAATATGAGCTCTTCATTTTTTAATAGGAAGATCCCCTCCGCATCGCAGTTTTTTACTTTTCTTTTTTTCTCACACAGTCCAATAGAATAAAATTCATATCTCATTATTTATTGATTGTACAGAAAAATGTTCTAGACAAATTTTGTAGGAAATTGAATGCTCTACAAAAAAGGTATCTTCGATTTTTTTCGTAAACCTCACCATTTGTATGATATTGAAGATTTCAGTTTGATTGATGATTTTTAGACAAATTTCATGTTTCTTGATGAATTTTATATAACTCGACAATTAATGATTATTATTAAATTCGCAATACAAATTTTTATAGGAAATTAAGTGCTCTATAAAAATGGTATCTTATGTTTTGGCGATTAAATTAAGCGTTTAAAAGATATTCAGAGACATAAATTAGTTCACATGAAAGTTTGATGATATTGTATAATATATGATCATATTTTATAACACACGTATTTACTTTTTACTTTTACTTGTAATAATAATTCATACGATTGAATATAATATATAAAGAAAAATAAAGATAAAGATAGAAAGAGAGAGAGAGAAAGGGAAAGTGAGAGAATGAGAGAGAAGAAGGTGAAGGGGAAGGTCAAAGTCAAACGTTACGAGTATTAGTTATGTATATATTGTTAAATGTATTTATTAACTATGTCACATAGAGAAAAACATTTCGGTACTAACGAGCAAGGTGATTTGGTGGGGAGAGGTGACTCTCGTACGTACCACGTATCTCATTTTGGTTTTGAAAGCAATACAGGTAATACGTGACGATTTTCACTCATCATTTAATTCATTTAATACTAAACTATTAAATAATATTTTAATATGCATTATTATAATCTAATTAAATCAAATGTAATTAACAGGTTCCTGCAATGATTATCGATGACTTGAGTGGATTGAAATTCAAATAAGGTAAGAAAATATGTAATTATAATTTGTGCAATTATTAGGTCGAGTCATAAATGATTTTCATTTTTTATGAGACATATAATGACGTTGCGTCTGCGACTGAAAAATGTTAATCAAATAATTATTGTTAAATTATCATTACGTTAGAATTAATCGATGTTATTATATTAAAAAAAAAACAATAAAAATAATAGAAAAGAAAAAAAAGATGATTTTGTTAAAGAATGACGATGCATTTTCAACATAAATCAATATGAGATGTACAGAATTCTATTATCAGAGTATTATCTTTTTGTTTAACATTTTATATATAATAATTGTTAGTTGATTCAATGATATAAACAATAAGGAGGAGGAAGGGGAAGTGATAATAATTTAGAAGAAGTATATTTTTCAATGTCCAATTTATTATTTTATAATAATTATAACGAATGCGAGAGTCAAATAAAATTCTGTAGAAATATTATTTATTAATTTTCATATAATGTTATCAAATTTAATTACAAAAAAATTGAAACAAATAGAAGTAAAAATTGTTTTTTGGGATAAATTGATGATTCATCGTTATACAAATATTATAGTATTAATTTAAAAATAATAAATCCGTTAACATTGTCGATTTATTTGATTCTAATTTATCGTATTTACTATTTTTCTTGCAAGGATCAATGATTTTACTTTTACCAGTAGTTACGTCATTACAAATTGATTTTTTCTTTCCTTTACATTCTCTCATTTCCCTTAATTCTCTTTCCATTCTTTCGTCATCTTTATCCTTACCTTAAAACAAATAAAAAATTTATTTTTTTAATATTAATTTAAATAATAAATAATTAATTAATAAATAAATAATAAAATAATTTTTAATTATTAATCTCATTATTTAAAATGATATATTAATTTTAATTTACCTTTAGTTGATTGACAAATATCAATTTGTGATTTTTCACATACATTACTACGACTTTGTTGAAAACCACAAGGATAATCCTTTTTCGTTTTGTCACAAATATCTTTTTTAGATTTGTCATTCAAACATTTAGGTGGTTCACTTGGTTTCTTACAAGAAGTTGACGACTTCATTTGTTTCTGACAATAATCATCCTTACAAGATGAACTACGATTACTGTAAAATCTCAAAACTGAATCATTTTGATATGGTCTCAGGGATACAACACTAACGTCAAATATTGGTATATTAATCGATGATTTAGTTTTACGATTTGATAATGATTTTGTTAGTGAATGATAACGTCTTCTATTAAAACTATTCGATCTTCTTGAATTTCGTCTGGTATTATTGCAATCGTTTCTTTTCGATTTATTATTGCACATGTCATGTGATTCGTTGTTATCATCGAAACAATTGTTGTATTTTTCATTTTTATCGTTGTTACATTTTTTTATACTCGAATTGCAACACTCATCATCATCATACCTATTATTATTATTGCAATCATCATCATCATACATTTGTGATTTTGGTTTTTCTATTGGCAAACATGTCGGATCTTTTTTAATTAATTCTTCATTATTATCATCATCTACTTTTAAATCTTGTTCACATTTTGATCGACGTTTTGTTGGACAAATTCCTTGTTTAATTACACAATCCTCAGTTCTTAATGCTGGACAACAATAACGTTTACAAATTTTTTTCTTTTTTGGTTTACTCTTGCAACACGATGTTGATCGTTGTGGTTGTGGAGGTGGTGGTGGTATTGGTTTTTTCGTACAACAACTTTTCTTTTTTCTTCGACAACAACGTTTTGGTTTACAACAATCTTTTCTTTTTGGATTGACACAAACCACTTTACCTGGTATCAATTGTGTATCATCGTCACATTCACATTTACGTTTTTTACAACAAGAATCATCGTTGGTTGTTTTTTTCGATTTGTTGCAAGAACCATAGAAATAATACGATTGTCGTTGATTGTTTTTCTTGATACCTGTCAGTGATAGATTAATAATATAATTAATATTACATTACAATTTAATTATAATAATAATTTTTTTTTCGTGTGGGTTTGGGTTATCTCGGGTGCTCAAAAGTCCTTGGAACATTGTGTGCCCGGGCCCCTCCTTACGGGGGGACCACCATCATTTTGGTGGGCCCCGCGGGCAGCCCCGTCCGCACCGAGAGGCCTGGAAGCCTACCACGTCGAATGTTGGGGCGGTGGGTCCCAAGGACATCAAAATTTCTGACGCCCGCGATTCCCAAAGCCACTACGACAACGAGAGAGCAAGCATGTCCCCACGTTCGTTGTCGGAGAGCGGGGATTCGAACCCGCGAACTCCGCGTGGGAGTCGAGCGTTCTACCAACTGAGCCATGCCATGCTCATTATAATAATTATTAATATGTTTGTATTTATTGATAAATAATGAATTTATTTGTATTTATTAACCCTGTGTACTCGAGCGGCGCCGATACAGCGCCTAATGGCTGATTGAAATGACAACTCGAGAGGCGCCGATACGGCGCCCAATGGCTAATTTCAAGTCTTTTATTAACTCTATCTGCTTATTAAAAAATATTTCTTTTAAGATAATACTTAAAGGGTTGAAAAGGGATTGTGAGGTTTATTCTGATCGTAATACACCTGAAGGTAGACCGGAAGTAACATATTATTGTGATATACGTGTCTTGATAAACACCTGGTGTGCATCTTTTGGTATTGTTTTATGAAATATTATAGAAAAATTAATTACAGTGTATAATATTTCTCTAATTTGATATATAAATAAATAAAAAAATAAAATTTGATGAAATTTGATTATTTGTATATACATTTGTTTGTTTATAAATGGATTTTAAGGTACATGTTAAAATGTTTCCCTAATTTTGGCCTGAAATCGTCTCGAGTTTGCTGAATTAGCGAAAATGGAGAGCCTCGAGTGCTCGAATAAAATGAAATAAAATATATAATTGAATAATACCTGATGATAATTTATGATTAGATCCTAATAAAATTCTTTTCGATTGAATAATCCTCGAATAAACATCAGTATTGTTGAAATTCGTGGTACTTCTGTTAGAAGATAAATTGACACAACTAATTGATTTTCTTCTTTTAAACATGTTTGAATGAAACGATAAGATATTTGATCTAACGATTGGATCTAACGATGAAGAAATTTCACGTGTTTGTACAATTGGTGGGTAAAAACGCGTAGATCCTTTAGTTGTTGAACCATTCCTATTAGAATTTCGTACAGGACAACAACATCCTGTTACTGTAGTTAAATCTAAACTGTTCGGCCATCTTTGATTTGTTGAATAATAATCATTATCATCTTGACTTTTATCAAATTTAATCGATGTACATGGTAAACTATTTGTAATTCTTTTTCTATTATTTCGATGTTTACTTTTATTATTCATTTTACTTGATCTTCCTAGATTTGTTTCCAATTTTTTTAGGTTATAATCAGTTAAATTTTTAACACTCAACGTTTTATCAAATTGTTGCGAATTATTATTAATATTTTTATCCTGATTATTATTATTATTATTATTATTATTATTTAATAATGTTGAAATATAATATGATTTTTGATTATTATTATTATTATTATTTGTATTATTGTTATTATTTTGAATGTAATTTAATGAATTTGATGGTGATTGATTTGATTTAATTTCTTTTGCATTTTTCAACGTTGTTTCTTGATTGTGTTTGTTTTTTATATTAAATACATTATTCGAAATTTTGTATTTCATTTTAAATGGTATTTTGTATGAAATGTTTGACATGTTTTTTGTTTCATGTTGATTTTTATTGATTATCGAA